CTGTGTCACCCTATGTTATAGCTATTACATGAGGAATCGCATCCGGCATAATTATCCATCACTGATCCATTACCTACGAGCTTTTCACATACTGTTCTTCGCTTATTTACTTTTCCGTTGCTACTGTTACAACTACTACAAAAAAAACCAAAACTATTATCTTTCCTTTTGCTACTGTTACCTTTATTATCATACTACTTTGCTACTAAATACTTTGCTGCAGATACTAAGTTATCCAGGTGTGGTTGAATTTACAACTCAACTGCTAATACTCAAGAATATTCTTTGGCTCCCCTTGTGTCGAATCAATAAATTTGGGTTGAATACTTTACCCTCAAAGCTGTTGCGATCCCCTACACTTGTGGGTTATCAGAACCTTGTGTGCTTGCAAGAGACCAAGATTGATGTGTTTGATCTGTTTAATGTAATGCAATGCATTGGTCCATCTTTTGATGGCTTTGACTATGTCCCGGCAATTGATACGCGTGGTGGTATCCTTTTGGGGTGGGATACAACGGTCTTGGAGCTAGATAATATCATCAGGGATACCAATTCGCTCACCGGGCTGGTTCACAATAAGGATGGGTCGGAGTGGTGGATTACTGTGGTCTATGGTCCGCAAGGTGACGAAGCCAAGATGCAATTTCTTCTGGATTTGCACAACACGAGGGCAGCGTGCCCGGGACCATGGGTGCTTCTGGGTGATTTCAACATGATCTTGCATGCTGATGAGAGGAGCAATAACAACCTTAATCGACGGATCAGGAGGAAGTTCAAGGATTTTGTGGATAATTGCAAGCTCAAAGATGTCTACATGCATGGGAGGCATTTCACGTGGACTAACGAGAGGGAACAACTGGTTCTGACCAAGATCGATAGAGTGCTCGTTTCAGTTGATTGGGAACTGTGTTTCCCGGATGTCCTTCTACAAGCCCTCTCCTCCAATATTTCAGATGATGCCCCCCTACATCTCACCACGTCGGCCCCGTTCTGCTCTAAGAAAAGATTTCGCTTTGAGATGTACTGGACGAGACTAGAAGGCTTCAAGGAGGCAGTTAGGAAGGCTTGGGTGTGTGAGGACAGTATTGTTGACCCTTATAAGAGGCTGGACTCCCTCCTTCGCAACACCGCGGTAGCTTTACAAGCTTGGGGGCAAAGGAAGACCGGGCACATCAAGACCCAGATGGCGGCGACCAATTACATCAGCTTAAGGCTGGATCGTGCTATGGAAGATAGGGTGCTCACGACCGAGGAAAGATGGCTAAGGAGAACACTAAAGCATGCGTTGTTAGGACTGTCCTCCTTGCAACTCACCATCGATCGGCAGCGATCAAGATTACGCTGGATCCGAGAAGAAGACGCCAACACCAAGCTTTTTCAAGTGGTGGCTAATGGACAAAGATCAAAAAACTTTATCCCTCACATTAGACATAACAACGAGCTGATCACGGATCAACAAAGGAAGGAGGGGGTGTTTACGGATGCTTTCCAACAACTTCTGGGCCGCGCTTCCACTAGAGAGGCTGGCCTAAACCTGGACTTCCTAGAGCTTGACACACACGACCTTTTTGAACTGGATGAAATTTTTACGGAGGAGGAAGTGTGGGATACGATAAAGGAGCTGCCGCCTAATCGCGCGCTCGGGCCTGATGGGTTTATTGCTGCCTTTTATCAGAGGGCTTGGCCCATTATCAAGAGCGACCTGATGGCCGTGTTTATGAAGCTATATGTGGAGGATGGTAGGGGTTTTGGCAAGTTGAATCGTGCTCATATCGTCCTGATCCCGAAAAAACCGGTGCGGAGGTTGTGGGGGACTTCCGCCCTATAAGCTTGACCCACAGTGCTGCAAAATTATTTGCGAAGATGCTTGCGAATCGCGTTAGGCGCAGAATGTCAGAGACCGTGGCTGTAAATCAATCTGCCTTCATAAGTGGCCGACACCTGCACGATAACTTCCTTCTGGTTCGGCAAGTTGCGAGGAAACTTCATGCTCGCAAGGAAGCTGCAGTCTTTCTGAAACTTGATATCTCGAAAGCTTTCGACTCGATCGCATGGCCTTTCCTTTTTGAGGTGATGAAGCAGATAGGTTTTGGGACCAAATGGCTGTCATGGATCTCCATCTTGTTAAGGACGACATCTACTAAAGTGATTGTCAACGGGATCCTAGGAAAAAGCTTCTAGCACTTGAAAGGGCTTCGGCAAGGAGACCCGATCCCCCCCCTTCCTTTTGTCATTGTTATGGACGTCCTCTCTAAGATCATGACTAAAGCTGCTGATTTGGGTGTGTCTAGTAGGATTGCTGGGGTCTCTGCTACCCAGACGATCTCAATTTACGTGGATGATGTGGCAATGTTTGTCAAGCCCTCTGAGGTGGATCTGAGATTTGTTAAAGAAGCTATCAAGATGTTCGGTGGCGCGTCGGGCCTTCGAGTGAACTATCTCAAGTCATCTGCGGTGATGATCCATGGTGATGCTTCTGACAGGGACAGGGTGGTTGCTTTGCTGCAATGCAATATGGGAACTTTTCCTTGCAAGTACCTAGGTTTGTAGCTCGCAATTCACCAACTTAGTTGTGCGGACTGGCAACCGATGGTAGATCAAGCTAAGCGTTGCTCCCCGGCCTGGCAACGTGGGCTGCTCCAGAGATCAGGTCGTCTTGTGCTCGTTAAGTCCGTGGTGGCCGCTAAACCCATACATCATTTCATGATTGCTGAGGCGCCAGCCTGGGTGTTGGAGGATATCGATCAATGGATGTGTGCGTTTTCTGGGCTGGGAAAGACAAGGTGAACGGTGGGCAGTGCTTGGTGGCCTGGAACACGATCTGTAGGCCCACGTTCCTTGGGGTTCTGGGAGTTAGAAATCTGGAACTGCAGGGCATCGCTCTCAGAGTCAGATGGGAGTGGCTGAAACGGATGGATCCACAAAGACCATGGCAAGGCTTAGCTATGATTGAGGACAGACAAGCCCGCGCAGTGTTTGATAGCCTAGTCAAGATTGAGGTTGGAGATGGCACCAAGGTGCTGTTCTGGAGAGACAGATGGATTCACGGTTTTGCGGCCGCCGATATTGCTCCGCTTATTCATGCCATGGTGGCTACTCGCACGAGGAACAGGCGCACAATCAGTGAGGGTTTGGACAATGGCAAATGGTTGCAGGATGTGACTGGTGATCTCACATTCGTTGGGCATATGCAGCTTGTGCACCTCAACTTGGCTATTAGCACGATCGAGTGTGACCCGAACAGACCGGACTGCTTCTCTTGGCCGGCAGACCCCTCGGGTAGTTACACTGCGAGATCCACATATCTACCCGGCAGTTCCAGATTTCTGACCAAGTGCAAGATTTTTGCTTGGTTGGCCGTGCAGCATCGCATTTGGACCTCGGATCGACGAGCTAAGCATGGGCTTCAGGATAGACCCTCAGCTTGTTACACGTGCCTGCAGGAAGAGGACAACGCTGAGCATATTTTGATCCAGTGTGTGTACGCTAGGGAAGTTTGGCATGAGGGTCTCCAAGCCCTCAACTTGCAGGTCACGAGGCCAACTGAGAACGACAATCTGCTGGATTGGTGGCTGTTAGCGAGGAAGAGGAGTGTCAAGGCTAACAAACGGGCTTTTGACACATTTGTGATTGTGGTGACATGGGCCCTGTGAAAACAAAGGAATGCTCGAGTTTTTAATAGAAGAAGCCAACAGAGATCCCCGAGTGAATTGGTAGACGCGATTCTTCGTGAGCTGCACGAGTGGATTGAGGCCGGAGTTGGAGATGTTGGGTTGTCATGTTTCATGAGAGAGTAGGCTTAGGATCTTAGGTGTGGGGTGTTTCCGGGTGTTGCCGAGAATGGATGTGTGCATCCATTCGTAAGGCATCTCTTGTAAATCTTATTCTCTCTTTTATAAAAATATGGTACGTTATTGGTGTACTCTCAAAAAAACATCTTCGCGATATTATTATTTTTTTCCAAGAAAAAGAAAAGGCTTGCTCTGTTGCTCAGCAAACAGAACATACGGTTCGCCGGCCACTCGCGCGAGACCTAACAACCGAACGAACATACCTACCCGGCAATGAGGAGGTTGCTCCTCTTCTTGTAGGCTTGACTCAGCCCTTTCGTGCGATCAGCAGACCGAGCCCCTCCATGCCCAAAAAAACAAAAAGAAAAACAGACCGAGCACCGGAGCACATGTGGAGTATGCATGTTGCCAACTTTTCATTTGATTTCTTAATGCGTGACTCGGCCCATTTGGACACGAGAGAGACCAAAAAAAAAAAAAGTGTGCCAGTCAAGCTGGGCACGTGCTCCTCTGCTTGCTCCGACGATTGATCGGGTCGAACACGACCAACAGCATTGCTACGACGGATGAATGTTGATGATCCAAGCAGGAATTCACCGCCGCCCAGTCCAATCCAATCCAAGCAGTTCACGTAGAATTTCCCGCCACATAGTACGAGTAGGATCGAGTTTTACTATTCTTAATTTTACCCGCGGCGAGCTGATTTGTCCGGCGCGGCGCGGTGCGCTGCAAAAATAGAATCCCTTGCACATGCCCCCTGCCCGTGAACTTTGTACGGCCAGCTAAGCTGCGCGCCGCACCGCACTGACGCGGTTAGGTTCGAGATTTCCGTTTTCCAGACATAGATAGCCGACGCACCCACGCCACCCCGTGATCCAAGGACCGAACCTGGACGCCAAGCCAAGCCATCGGATCGGATCGGATCCACTTGCCGCAGGGAGAAGAAGGGTCTGTGGGTGGCCGTCCCCTTCCTCCCACCTTCCCCGAGCCCCGCACGAGACGAGACGGCAGACCCCTTCAACCCCCCACTCCGCGTCCCCGCCCCGATCAGTACCGGTTAAGTAACTAACCTCTTCTTCCTCCCTTGTCCACTCCGCTTCTCCCCATCCAAGAAACCGCGCCAGGACCTCCGCCGATCAAGGAGAATCAAGAAGCCGGCGTACAGACCGATCCATCGATCGACCCTTGCCTGAGCCGGCAGCAGTAGCCATGAACAACCTGTTCTCGAGTTCGTGGAAGCGCGCGGGCGCGGGGGGCGACGGCGGGGACCTGGAGTCGGGCGGCGGCGGCGGGGTGGAGATGACGGCGCCGCCGGGCGCCGCGGCGGGGGCGAGCCTGGACCGCTTCTTCGAGGACGTGGAGTCGATCAAGGACGACCTGCGGGAGCTGGAGCGGATCCAGCGCTCCCTCCACGACGGCAACGAGTCGGGCAAGTCGCTCCACGACGCCTCCGCCGTGCGCGCGCTCCGCTCCCGCATGGACGCCGACGTCGCCGCCGCCATCAAGAAGGCCAAGGTCGTCAAGCTCCGCCTCGAGTCGCTCGACCGGGCCAACGCCGCCAACCGCTCCGTGGCCGGCTGCGGGCCGGGCTCCTCCACGGACCGCACCCGCACCTCCGTCGTCGCCGGCCTGCGCAAGAAGCTGCGGGACGCCATGGAGTCCTTCTCCTCCCTCCGCTCCCGCATCACCTCCGAGTACCGGGACACCGTGGCGCGGCGCTACTTCACCGTGACGGGGGCCCAGCCCGACGAGGCGACGCTGGACACGCTGGCGGAGACGGGCGAGGGGGAGCGGTTCCTGCAGCGGGCCATCGCGGAGCAGCAGGGCCGCGGGGAGGTGCTGGGCGTGGTGGCGGAGATCCAGGAGCGGCACGGCGCCGTGGCGGACCTGGAGCGGAGCCTGCTGGAGCTGCAGCAGGTGTTCAACGACATGGCCGTCCTGGTGGCGGCGCAGGGGGAGCAGCTGGACGACATCGAGGGCCACGTCGGGCGGGCGCGGTCGTTCGTCGACCGCGGGCGCGAGCAGCTCCAGGTCGCCCGCAAGCACCAGAAGAGCTCCCGCAAGTGGACGTGCATCGGCATCGGCATCCTGCTCGTCGTCATCCTCATCATCGTCATCCCCATCGTGCTCAAGAACACCAACAAGAGCAACAACAACAACAACCAGCAGTAGTAGGAATAGCTTGTGATGATATGATCCTGGCTTGCTTGCATGCTTGCTGGGTGTTGTTGATCGTTTTTTGTGGAATTTTTTGCGATTGTAATTACTCCATCCGTGCGGTTCGTTGAGCCAATCGATTATGTTATATAACTATATACTTTTCGGCGATTTATGAGTGGTAATTATGCAGTTGATTGAGTTTGGGTTGGAGTGTGGAGCCAAGCTTGTGTGACAGGTGAGCCAACTTTGACTTGGTCGGAGTCCATGTGCCGGCGCGGCTGACCGGCGACGCACTCAATCGGGAGAGAAGAAGAGAAGATTCATTCAGGTCCCAACTACCTCCAGCCTCAGGCTCCAGATGCGAGGCACCGCTCGTTGGTTGGAGTAATCTACGGCAGGTCGTCAAATCTCGAGCTGCCTGCGTGCTCGTCAACCATGGACATGGTGGTGCTAGTGGTAGTAGTAGGAAAATAAAATTTCGTTGCTTGCAAGCTTCTCGAAAGGCAGAACTTCCGTGTCATTTCGAGGCACGCTGGACTGCGACAAGATTGCGATGCAGTAATACAATTCTGCTCACTGGAATCAAGATTAGCTGAACCACCACCGGAATTGCGATGCAGTCCGGTACATGGCGCAATTATGTCCGTTCTAAGGGAACACATCCGCTCCATATAAAGCAAAAAACGCAACATGTGCTTCCATGAGAAGCACATCCGCTTCCGCGAGAAAGGATAATTTGTGCTTCCAAAAAAAGAGAAGCACAACTATGTTTCTCAAAAAAAAAAAAACAGTTGTGCTTCCCCGAAAAAAAGAAAAGCACAACCGAGGCTTGTATGAAAAGCACAAATGTTCTTCCGGGTTTCTATTTTTTTTCTTTTTGTTTTCTCTTCTTTTGTTTTTTATTGCAGGGTTTTCATGCTTTTTATTTTTTTATCATTTTTGTTTTTTATTTCCGTTTTTCCTGACTTCCAGTTTCTTCGAATTTTGTTCGTGAAAACAAAAGTTTGTCTAAACATATTAATATGTGATGTAGTTTCAAAGATTTTGACGCAATAAATCTAATGATGAAAATGGTTCGACATTTGGACGCACGACTTAAAAAGATAAACCGTCTTGAAAAATCGAATCCATGAAAAAGAGGAAAAATTTCAGGTTACTACAACTGACGCACATGCAATTTTGACAGCACCAGAGAAGGTAAGAAAGTGACCGTTGCAAGGGTACCCCTTAACTAGTGATTTCGTAGTTCTCTAAAGACATTAGTCAAAGGGTATCTCTTGGAGAGGTACCTCTCACTTCCCATCGTGATGACAAGTGGCGCATTGGTTTTGCGACATTTGTCACATCCTAAGAGCTTTGTGTTTTTTTCATTCATCAAGTTTTTTAAAATGTTTTATCTTTTGAATCGTGTTCAAATCACTATTTTCACCATTGCGTTTCTCAAAACGAGATGTTCGAAACTGGATCACGTGTTGATAGGTTTGGATGAACTTCCTTTCAAAAAAAATCAGAAATAGAAAAATAGAAAAAGAAAAACAGATACCTGAAAAAAAATCATAGATAAATACACAATAATCAAAAGCGCAACTCTATTTTTTTAAAGTAGAGTTGTGTTTTTCACTTTTTGGGAAGCACATACCACTGCTTTACCGGAAGCACAACTGTGATTTTCACTTTACAGGAAGCAGAGTTGTGCCTCCCGGTAGGCACATGTGTGCTTTCACCGGAAGCACAACCGTGTTTTCACTGCTTTTCATGAAGCACAACTGTGTTTGTCGCATGGTGTGTTTCACGAGAGAATTTTAAAAAGAACATCACAAAAACCTAGAAAAATAAAGCAAAATCCAAAACCGAAAACCCCCCAAGAAAAACGTGCAAAAAATACGTATTCGAGAGGGTGCACTCAAATGCTCGGCACGTGGCGGTAGTCGAGCGCCCTCAAAAGTGTCCGCTAGGACCACGTGACACATGTGGTAGGCATTCCAAACAATTCAAAAAAAAAAGGTCCACTGGGTTGGCCTTCCGCATGAGTACCCAGTAAATAGTTGCTCCTAAAAAACTATAGTTGCCCCTAGTTCTTCCACCACCACTGATCTCTTGCAAGCAAATTCTCTGAAGTATTCCCTCCATCCCATAATATAAGAGCGTTTTTAAGCTAACAATACATGTCGTAGAGTTTTCTTTTCTTAGATGGGACGTGTCACGAGAATGTCTGGCATGCCATTAACCTCGCAGTCAAGCAGACAATTTAAAACTCATCTGCTCGTCCTCCTAACGAATGCATCTGAAAATGGATCGATCGGATCAATCAGGCAAACAATTTAAACCAAAGGGAGCTGCGATAAAGGTGAAGGTCTGTATTATCTTTCAGTTTCGGTCAGGGGCAGGCCGTGTTTGAAGGAGGGGGCGGAGAAAATCACTGCTCCTGGACGGACCTGGAGAAACTCGAGGTCGAAGCCGGTGCCTCCAGGCTCTGGTTGGAGTAATCTACGGCGTGACGGTCGTCAAACCTCGAGCTGCCCATGCGCGCGTCAACCATGTCACCATTTGGAGGTAGAAGATTGCGATGCAGCGAACGGATCGAGAAGCGTGAAGTTTCCACTCCCTCAGAGCAGACCGTCTTGCTAATTGGACAACATTTAAGAAAGGCGATGATCAAAACAATTCATACACTGGAATCATCTCTTAAATGTGCATAGCAAAATTGCGATTATGATTTACACCAATTCAAAACGTTACTGCCCAAGTATCACGACTGCCAAAAAATCATATACAGTACATACAAGAATACCCAAGCAGACATGAGCTCAACCTATTCATACAAAAGAACAGAAAATTCACGCTGGCATCAACGATTTAACATTTACCAGAGGAACAATTGTCACCCATAGAACAACAGTTTCAGGAAGATTACATAACCTCCTCGCAGAAAATGATACAGAGAAGGATGTACAAGAATAGCACAGCTATAGGATACACAAACTCGATAAATGTCTGTCAGCTTGCATCGCACCCCAATTTCATTGACAACAATGGTATACATCGTCTAATCACCTGAACTATCCTCATGATTCATCCTCAAAAAGGGCTCGTATAAATGCAGTCAGCACTGAAGCTGATAACAAAAGAATCCATGTATATGGGTGTCCTATATCCAACCTGGGAACTTACAGGGTACATCTGCACTTTGCCTGTCCGCTAGCTTTGGCTGGTGATATCGTACATCTTCAGTCTGCCCCCACAGGACAGGCTTCTGCACTAAACTACATGCAAGTTTTTCTGTGCTGAGCTTCATGAGAAGTATCTTTATCATATTGTAATTCATCAGGCGCCTTGAAGAACATTAACATAGAAGGGATACCCTTGGCCACCACCTGATGTCACATTTTCATCCACATGTCCACTCTCAGATGAATGCACTTTCCAGTGCAACTCATAAGTTGAAAAATCGTACGTTCCAGGTGCAAATATGCACACTTTCAGGGGAATTTTGGCAGAACTGTCAGGTTTGAGATCAACTTGAGCGGAACTCAATGAGCACCAAACAAACGGTGAAATGCTTTCTGACGATTGTTTCTGAGAATGTGCCCCCTTCGTGCTTGCGATGGCTTTTATGTCGTTTTCCAGCGAAACGTCATACCATCCACCCTGACCAGTGGCAGATTCATGTGAAGGGGCAGTCTTGGTTTTCTCTGCCATACAGTCAGATGTAACCACTCTCACGGTAGTGTTATGTTCTGAAGAATTGTGAATCACCAGTTGGATGTTAGCCTCACAGCATGACTTCGAGAAATCATGAGTAATGGTTCGAGGTCCCTCCATAAGCCACCAAACAGGATTCTGGCTGAGAGCACTGCAAAAGCAGACCAATATCAGCATATATGTGCAGGAACACCAAAAGTAACAAAGTTGTTACACTGTCAGAAGGTTCTAGCACTTGCCTGCAGTGGCAAGTGTGATGAGACAGCAGTTGTTCTGGCTTGGAAGAGTTAACAGCTACTGCCTTTGAGATCAGAATAAAATCAAGTAGACCACGTGGCACCTGAAATGAAGTCGATACATAGGTAAGCATTTGATTAACTAATGCTAAAATTTAAATATGCATACAGGAAACCAGCCACTGGCCCCATTTCGATCCAAGTGTTGTTGTGTTGAGGTTAAAGCTAAGGGCAAAAACACTACCCAGCTGGATAACACTGGTAAACAGCAAGAAAACAGTACCGCCAAGTGGTCTAGAATGGTATTACAACCTCAGGCAGCACTCACCTTAGCTAACTTCCCTTGTTGGTATCTTTCTTGATAGTGGAAATCAGTGATAGGAGTCCGAGAAACATCAAATACATCAGTACTACCCCCAGCAGATAAAACTATATCACTTCCACAGGAACCGTCTGCCGCCTCAATACATGAACTGGTACTTAAATCCTGGAAATAATTAATGCATGGAAAACCATATCACCTAGCCAGATATAACGGGCATGAAAATAAAATAAAGAAATGGAATACATAGGGCCCAAGTGTCTTCTATTTGATAGCTTGTTCAAACAGTGTCTCCAACCTTTATCTTGAAGAAGCATGACACAGCTTGGTTTGCTGGTATTGTTTCCACAAAGCTGATGGAATCGCGCGAGGGTAATGTTGAAACTGCCCATTTAGTGCCGACGCATGACAACTGATTAAGTGCAAATGAGTCTGATGGAGTCTTGTTGATTACATCCATTCGCACAATATACTCTTGCAATCTTGATGAACACATACTTATAGCAAATGATACATCAAGTGAAGGCAAGACCTGTAAATAAGAATTGTTTACAGAAAATTAATAGATTCCAATTCCGTATTTATCAAGAACTGTGTTCAAACATACAGGTGCTGGCTAAGCAAATTTAAGATTAAATAATGCAACAGTAGCATCCAAAACCACGGTGCCATTTATATGGGTAGTAGTTCTACACACCGTAATCATGGGAGTACAGAACGCTATAATGTGAGATTGAAAAATAAAATAGAATCAATCACACATCATACTAGCTTCCTGTATTTTGGTCCAAAACATGACAAAGATATCAAAATCTGAAATCCAAGTCTTGGGACCACCGCACTTCTATAGAGCTATTACAACTTCAAAACAAAATTAACATAACCAGTGGCATCAAACAATGAACTCAAGACTTTCAGAGCACATCGGATTTCT